AATGACCTATCTATGAATAGACAAATTACTTTTTGGTCCTCAAAGGGTAAGGTTCATGCACTTGGTTAGTTTTCATGACTAATACAATAAGTTTAGTTTGAGGCCACACTTTAGTGAAATATCAGGGGTGTGAACAAAACAGAATAAAACAGACTTTTCAATTCCCTTCTTCTTTGCAACAGCAGCTAGATTCACACACAGAACAGGAAATACTACTCTGTACAGAGCGTTTCCTGTTCAGTCAGAAAAGAAGAACTAGTAAGTGGTTCTTTTCCTTTGTATTCCATATGTTGATGGCAGGGGAAGGGATAAAGGATAAGTACACTTTAAAACAAGTGCAATTAAGCTCTTTGCATTGACCTAACTGATCCTACCTTCCACCTCCACAGATGTATAATTTCGGAAATCTGACTGCTAGACCTGTGTATTTTGTTTTATTTCAATAAGATTTAATTTTAATTTTGGGAGATTCAGATGTATACGAGTCTGTGAATGGACATAGTAACAAATGCCAATGAATCCAAAAAAAGTTATAACAAAAAATTAAAAGTACTGCTTGGACCTTGAAGAAGGGGACATACCCCGAAAGCTTGTCCTCAAAATTGTATGTTAGTGCAAATAAAAAAAATATCACGGACAGTACTCAATTGTTTCTGTAACAAAATTAACAAATGCATTTGTTTAATTCGGATGATGTCATATGGTACGATTGTAGTTTGGGCCCATGGGGAAATGAATTCCATATTTGAATTAATTTGCTCATTTGGATTAGGACAATGAATGGATCCAAATTTCATTCCATTCCTTAATTCGGATGCACATGATGCCAGTTGATGGTGTCCAATCAGCTCATGCCATTTCTCTTGGTGGGTTGGAATAGCATCTGAAAATATTGAATCCTTAAAATTTTAATCTGTCTGATTCAATAACATATTGAATATATTGCAATTTTCTGAAAAAACTGAAACATTTTTAAATCCACGTGGACCAATATACAAAACAAATGCCGAAGATATGAAACAAATCGGGTCACCATAACATACATATGCAAGAAAAAGTATGTGAACCTTGGGAACGTGGAGTTTTGCATGAATAAAAATGTGCTCTGAACGTCATCTAAGTCACAACAATAGAAGAACACAGTTGCTGAACATAATACTACACAAACATTAGATGTTGCCATGGTTTAATTGCACATAACATGTAACATTCACAGTGCAGGGAGGAAAAAAGTTATGTGAACCTTTGGACTTAATAACTGGTTGACCCTCTTTGGCAGCAATAACCTCAACCAAAACGTTTCCTGTAGTTGCAGATCAGACCTGCCCCTGCACAACGATCTGGAGTAATTTTGGACCACTCCTCTTCACAAAACTGTTTCAGTGTAGCAAATATTCTTGGGATGTCTGGTGTGAATCGCTCTCTCAAGGTCATGCCACAGCATTTCAATCGGGTTGAGGTCAGGACTCTGACTGGGCCACTCCAGAAGGCGTATTCTGTGCTGTTGCAGTCATTGTTTTGTTGAATTACTTTGTATGCTTTGGGTATTGTCCTGTTGCATCACCCATCCTCTGTGGAGCTTCAGTTGGCGGATAGATGGTCGTACGTTTTTCCTGCAAAATGTCTTGATAAACTCTGGAATTCATTTTCCCATCAATGACAAAAAATCCGTCCAGGCCCTGAGGCAGCAAAGCAGCCCCAAACCATGATGCTCCCTCCACCATGTTTTACAGTGGGGATGAGGTTTTGATGTTGGGTGCTGTGCCTTTTTTTCTCCACACATAGTGTTGTGTGTTCTTCCCAAACAACTCAATCTTGGTTTCATCTGTCCACAGTATATTTTGCCAGTAGTGCTGTGGAACATCCAGGTGCTCTTTTGCAAACTTCAAACGTGCTGCAATATTCTTTTTGGACAGCAATGGCTTCCTCCGTGGTGTCCTCCCATGTACTCCATTCTTGTTTAATGTTTTTTCCTTATTGTAGAGGGTGTCAACAAAAATGTTAGCATGTGCCAGAGATTTCTGTAGGTCTTTAGCTGACACTCTGGGATTCTTCTTTACCTCATGCAGCATTCTGCGCTGTGCTCTTGCAGTCATTTTTACAGGACGACCACGCCTGACCAGGGAGAGAGTAGCAACAGTGCTAAACTTTCTCCATTTGTAGACAGTCTGTCTTACCATGGACACATGAACATCAGGCTTTTGGAGATACTTTTGTAACCTTTCCAGCTGCAAGTCAACAATTCTTGATCGTAGGTGCTTCTAAGAGCTCTTTTCTGCGAGGCATGGTTCACATCAGACAGTGCTTCTTGAAACCAGTAAAACCCAAAACAGGTGTGTGTTTTTTAAGGGCAGGACAGCTGTCATGTCAACACATCCAATATCATCACACTGATTGGAGTCAAGTTGGCTCACTCCTGGCTCCAATTAGCTTTGGGAGAAGTCATTAAGCTAGGGTCTCACATACTTTTTCCTCCCTGCACTGTGAATGTTTACATGTTATGTGCAATTAAAAACCATGGCAACATCTAATGTTTTGTGTAGTATTATGTTCAGCAGACTGTGTTCTTCTATTGTTGTGACTTAGATGACGTTCAGAGCACATTTTATGCCCATTCTGCAAAACTCCACGTAATCCCAAGGGGTTCACATACTTTTTCTTGCAACTGTATATGACAAAGTGAATTCTAAAGAACAAATGCATCCAAAATGAAACAAAAATTTCAGTGTTCTCATGTCTAACACGCCATGCCATGACCTCTGATGCATATTTCATTGTGCGCTGCAGCCTTTCTCTCCAGGCCATGCAGGAAAATTATAGATTTCTCTGAAGCTTGTTCACTAGAGGTATGCAATGATGAATGTACAAGAAAAAGAGATACATTCCACAGATAAATGTAATTAGCTAGGTGCTTGACTAAGAATGGGTGAGAGAAAACAGGCTGCAGTTGCTCTCTATATAGATGCTCCCAGCGGTACTGAACTGGTTAACAGCTATATAAGCAAGAAGGGGGAGCTGATGAGCAGGAAGAGTTCAACAGAGAGCCCTGCACTAGTTTTAGTCCAGATGAGAGAGACACCACTGTTCTCAAGATCTTTCTGAACTATATTTCCCAGAGAGAGATTGTCAGGAGGAGAGGAAATAGCTGCATTTTTTTCAGGTTGTACAGGGCACAGCTTCCTTTACTGCAAGGGAGACTGGAGAGTGCACAGTGCTGTCCAGTGTGCACCATCAGTGCTGCATTTCAGTGGCCTGAACGGGACCCAGAATGATGAGTTTGGGAGTGGTGACCTGGGTGCAGAGTAAAGAGTGGACTTAGAGCTGTGGGTGACCAGATGGTGAGCTGCTATATTGCTGGGCCTGGAGAGCTGCTGCTATGGGGATTTACTATTTGCTGCTAAAGAAAGAGACTAATGCAGGCCATAAATGGGGAGAAAAACGGCAGATTTTTCTTTTAAAAAATGAAAATTCGGTCGTTCAAGCGGCCGACGTTACCATCAATGGTAAAAAAAATCGGCCGATTTTCATCCCTTCTACAGCCGGCAAAAAGTGTCTTGCAGAGAGCTCCGCTATTTCTGACAGTTGTCTGACAGTTTCTTCACATTTACAGTGGTTGAAACATTGTATCTATTTGTTTCCATTTAGGATACAGATGTTTTTATTCGGAAACAAATAGATACATTGTTGCAACCGCTGTAAATGTCAAAGAACTGTCAGAGAACTGTCAGAAATAGCGGAGCTCTCTGCAGAGACACTTTTTGCTGGACTGGAATTCTTCTTATTTTCATCCTACTTCTTCTTCTTCTTCTTCTTCTTCATCCTCATCCTCTTCTTCTTCATCCTCATCCTCTTCTTCTTCATCATCATCCTCTTCTTCTTCTTCTTCATCCTCATCCTCTTCTTCTTCCTCATCCTCATCTTCTTCATCTTCTCATCATCCTCATCATCCTCTTCTTCATCCTCATCCTCTTCTTCTTCATCCTCTTCTTCTTCATCCTCATCCTCTTCTTCTTCCTCATCCTCATCCTCTTCTTCTTCTTCTTCTTCTTCCTCATCCTCATCCTCATCCTCTTCTTCTTCTTCTTCTTCTTCTTTTCTTCTTCATCTCATCCTCTCTTCTTCATCCTCATCCATCTCTCTTCTTCTTCTACATCCTCATCCTCCTCTCTTCCTCATCCTCGTCCTCGTCTTCTTCTTCATCCTCATCCTCTTCTTCTTCATCATCCTCATCCTCTTCTTCATCATCATCCTTATCCTCCTCTTCTTTCTTCCTCATCCTCATCCACTTCTTCTTCTTCTTCTTCATCATTCTCCTCCTCCTCCTCCTTTTCTTCTTCTTCCTCATCCTCATCCTCTTCTTCTTCTTCCTCATCCTCATCCTCTTCTTCTTCTTCTTCATCCTCATCCTATTCTTCTTCATCCCTCATCCTCTTCTTCTTCTTCTTCTACATCCTCATCCTCTTCTTCTTCTTCTTCTTCTTCTTCTTCTACATCCTCATCCTCATCCTCTTCTTCTTCTTCATCCTCATCCTCTTCTTCTTCTTCATCCCTCATCCTCTTCTTCTTCATCCTCATCCTCTTCTTCTTCTTCTTCTTCTTCTTCTTCCTCACCCTCATCCTCTTCTTCTTCTTCTTTCTTCATCCTTATCCTCATCCTCTTCTTCTTCATCCTCATCCTCTTCTTCTTCATCCTCATCCTCCTCTTCTTCTTCTTCTTCATCATCCTCATCCTCTTCTTCTTCATCATCCTCATCCTCTTCTTCTTCTTCATCCTCATCCTCTTCTTCTTCTTCTTCCTCATCCTCATCCTCATCTTCTTCTTCTTCATCCTCATCCTCTTCTTCTTCATCCTCATCCTCTTCTTCTTCATCCTCATCCTCTTCTTCTTCTTCTTCTTCCTCTTCCTCATCCTCTTCTTCTTCTTCTTCATCCTCTTCTTCTTCTTCATCCTCTTCTTCATCCTCTTCTTCTTTTTCTTCTTTTTGTCTTCCTCTTGCAGGTCACTGCTCATGTGCAGATTTTTTATCGGCAAAAAATCGGCCGATTTGCCCACTAATTGCCGCGAAAATCGGCCGATCGGCAAAAATCGGCCGATTTTTTTCCAACTTTACAGAAAAAAAAAAAACGGCCAAAATACCGAAAAACGGCCGACCAAATAGCCCACTAACGATCCGAAAATCGGCCGATTTTATTTTCGCCGAAAAATCGGCCGATTTTCGACCCATCTATGGCCTGCATAAGTCCTTTAGGTTAGTAACAGGTTGGAGCAGTTTCTGTTTGTCTGTACCTTTAGGAACTGACCATGCAGCCATCTAGTAACCTTACTGAAGGCTTGATTAGGGCAATTTTCATGTGTGGCAACAGTACAATTTGGCCCCAAAGCTAGTCAGCTGAAGAGTTAGGACAAAAGACTGACCCTTTACAGCTGCTACACAGAGATCTATACTTATTGCCTATGCTAAGAGATAACTCTCAGGGGACATTGCACCATATCCTAGCCATTCTCCTAGAGTGCCCTCTAGGCTAGTTATAGTACTACTATTCACATTGCAGTTAATGTTTATATGCACTGTTTATTACTGACTTTGCTGGTTCATGAGTTAATTCCAGTCTAGTGGTACAGAATTCTAAGCTACTTTCTCATAGTGATCATATTGGTTAGTAGACTATGTCTGAATCTTTCCTCTGTGTACTCATCTATGCTTAAACCACCAATTACTCTATGGATGCTCAACCTGTGGCTCTCCAGCTGTTGTGGAACTACAAGTCCCATGAGGCATTGCAAGGCTGACAGTTACAAGCATGACTCCCAAAGGTAGAAGCATGATGGGACTTGTAGTTCCTCAACAGCTGGAGGAACACATGACCATCCATGACCATCCATGATATACTCTAACCCATACCGAAATATTGAGTTAATGTACCACTAAATGGTCTTGTGTCTATTTCCTGAAACTAATTCACGGTTGAGTTAAAGGTATCCACATGTGTGGATAAGTGCATTCAGTAACTTTCACTCAATCAGGTGTGCCAGAGGGACTGAGATTGTCCTTGGAGGCAAGGCACAGAACAAAGAACCCAAATTACCAAACGGTTCCTTCAGGGGTAGCGCTTCATACACAATTTTTGACAAACTAGAAATCCAGATGAGAAGAAGTGGAGTGTTGTAAAAAGAGATAGCAAACAGAATTTCTTTCCTAAGTAATGTGCTGAAACTGAAAGGGCTCTCAGCGTTCTTAAAGGCTAATTGATGCTTACTCAGAGTACTTGGACACTAATCTCTCTGCCAAAATTCCGCAGCCATTAGTTCATTGCAACAAAAACTGTAAAAAGCAGATTCTGTTATGTTGAACTTTATAAAATAATATTAAAAGGCAAAATTCAGTGCATGTTTCCAAATTCAGACATTGCAAAGCATACTTTTTTTTACCAGTAATGGCCACAAATTGCACAGCGTTAATTTTTTCATAGCATATTAAATATACCAACAAAATAACTAGAAGAAAACCTTTTTTTTAAAATTTAAATAAATATTAATGTATATGTAAATAATTTGCTTACAGGGTTTTAAGTTCAAAGTGAAAACTTGGCATCAAAGTGAGATTTTTTTTAATAAGTGTTCTGAGTAAATGTTTCATTTTATTTAACAGCAACATTACAATTGTTAACTTGACAAATAAAATATACAGAAAAAATGATACTTTTTAGTTACCATTTATCAAAGAAGTGATTTCCCGCATTATTTGTAAATAAAATTCCTCAGCCAGTTGCTTGATTTTAATCCATGCCCAAGATGTTAAATCAATATAATAAAAACTATTTGCTTTAATATAGTTGTGGGGTCTGGCCTTGGGCCCACCTGAAAAAGGTCTGTACATTTTCAAACTTGTTTTCACTTTTGGCATCAAAACTGAGCTTTAATATCCTGTTAGTGAAGCACTGGAGGGGCTGAGGGTAGTGTGCTTAGTATATCAGTTGCCCTTAAAGTGGTTGTAAGGCTGAAGGTTTTTTACCTTCATGTATTCTATGCATGAAGGTACAAATCCTTCTGTGTGCAGCAGTGCCCCCAGCTCCCTCGATCCAGCAATGTGAATGACAGCCTCGGCTGTTCTGGGTCTCTGCCTCCTTATTGACTCAGACAGCAAGCTTGAGCCATTGGCTCCTGCTGCTGTCAATCACAGTGAGTCAGCCAATGAAGAGAAAGAGGAGGAGGGGCCAAGCCAAAGCTCCATGTGTGAATGGACACACAGAGCAGTAGGTGCCCCCATAGCAAGCTGCTTGCTGGGGGGCACCCAACAGGCAGGAGTAGCCAGGAGAGCCTGTGAAGGAACTCAAGAAGAGGAGGATCCAGGCTGCTCTGTGCAAACCACTGCATACAGTAGGTAAGTAAAATGTTATTTTACAAAAAAAAGAACCTTTAGAATCACTTTAACCTGGCCCTGCTTGAGACATGCATGGACAAATGCACTGTGGTATGACATATCTTTCAGTTGTGTTACAGTCCACATCTATCATTCAAGTAAAGTGCTGGCTGTAGACTCTTGAATATATGCATGTATGAATGTGGTTCTGCACCTGTGGCAGAATGCAGAATATTTGCAGAAACACATCAAATTCCCAAGTCTAATATTTATGTTCTTATGCAGCCTAACTTTATCACAGATTTATTGGAGCAAATCAGAAATTAATGTGTTACCAGTGTACATTTTTTTCTTTTGCGTTACATTAAGCTCTGTGGGAACCTATCAATAATTTGAGTCCAACAATACAAGTAAAGGGATGGACGCTGCTCATCTGGCTCAAAGAGTCCAATGTTGAGGAATGGCCTTAGCTTCTGTTCTGGCCACACCCTCTGATGTGACCAAGCCCCAGTGGGCAAAGAGTAATGTTTCAGAGGGCATGGCCAGAACAGCAGCCATTCCTCAACATTGGACTCCTGGGGTCAGTTGAGCAGCGTCCATCGCTTCACTTTTATTGGTTGACACTGGAATTGCTAGTACTCCTCTTCCCCTCTTCTCACTTTCTGGTGGAGTGATACTTTTCCTTCAATTCATAGCTTGGAGCGGCGCCATAAGGTATACTCTTCACTATTGTCCATCATATTCATTTTTGTTTAAATTTACAAGTATTCAAACATTTTTACCTTCATGTGAACAACTATGAACACCCTGTGATAAATATTGACTTTTTCAATATATTTTAAGAAACATTAGATTATTAGATGGTCAAACTGTGACTACAGATAAAAGTGATAAACACTAAAAATCTGTCTTTTCAATGATATATTCAACAAAAATATTAATAGATGAAATGGTGTACCATAAACAATGGCCTTGTAAGTTGGTATTGTAATTACTGGTGTAAATAAACACACCACACTTATGAAAAAAAATACTTAAAAAAATAAAAATAAAAAGTTCCACAATGTAAATCCATCTTAAATTGGTTGTCCAGCAATGTTGTCAGGAATCTAGGAGTGACCAGAAAGGTGTGGACTGACACAGGGAAACGCAGGCCTCAGGTACAGTATAATACAGTTTATTATTAGCCACCCAGATATATATATATATATAACGCACAGTGAGCAAACCAACCTTCCACTAATCTTAGGAGGTGCAGGAACACAGGCGTAGTCAGGAATGGAGAGGTGGAACGGTCAGGCCCGGCCGCAGGGTTCTGTAATGACCGTTTGGTGGTACCTCTAGCGGTCCTCAGGACAGGATTCCCCAGGGCGCGGAGTCTAAGTCCCAGTCTGCTTATTCACCAGGGCCCCTGATGGTGGGGATGGACTTGGAGCAGACAGGAACCAGGTCGCGGCCCCTGAGTACACCTGCTAGTGGTAGAGGGATCCGCCAGAGGTATGTGCAGGTAGGAAGCCTGATGTGAAGAGAGGCAGAAGGTGTGAGCAGGGACGGCTGGATCCGTGCAGGATGGATGGATGGCAGAGTAGTTAGCATGGTCAGACGGGCCAGGTCAGCAACGTGCGGGCAGCAAGGTACCAAAGGAGCAGGCAGAGAATGGTCAGGGTCACAAGCTGGGTTCAGTAACTCACGGGCAGCGCGGTACAGGGGATCAGGCAGAAGGATGGTCAGGCAAGCCAGGGGTTCAACAGAAGACGGTCAGCAGAGGTCAGGATCAAGCAGGGTCAGCAACGAAGCAGGAACACAAGATACCAGGTACAGGGGCTCATGGGAAAACATACAAAAGGCCCAGATCACAGGCCTGGTCATGCCTTAAATACACCTTCTGCAATCAGCCCCAGGTTTGGCTGATTGCAGGAGTGAGCTTCTGGCTGCTGAGAGCACCCGCTGGTCAGCTCTGGTACTGCAGCCCACACAGCAGGTGAGTCCCACCACCAGTGCTGAGTCCATTCCTGACAAATGTAAATCCTCATTAATCATGATGAACAGTGATCCCAAGGGCCCTTTGAAAGAAAAAAAAGGTAACGCCAATGATGATCCATTCCTAGTAGACTCCTTGTAACAACTGACACCTCCTAGCTGAATGCAAACAAAAGGGTGGGGGGCTGTCTGATGTCATTGCCCAAATATCCTCATGAATATTTTTTCGTTAATAATGATGTCTTCCAGGATGACTGAAAGCTTGTTTACAATCTTCCAGGCAGTTGAATACTGGCTGCTATACAGCCATTACCATTCACAGCAGGAAGTACTGATTTGTTGGCCCTAGTAATAAATTAACAACTTAACCAAATAGGTTAGGCAGTTTTTGAATTCTGAACATGCAAAGTTCAGGTCTAATCCCGCATTGGGCAAACTTCATCCCAAGTGATCATATTTACCTGAAAAAAAATAAATTAGAATTATTTAATTTTAGTCTTGACCCTAACAAATAAAAAAAAAGACATTCTCTTTAAAGGATAAGTTCACCTTTGGTAACATGTTACATCCATATTCAGGATGTAACATGTTAGGATTACACCAGCCCCCGCACCCCCCACCCCCAATCCCCATTGTGACAGCTAGTGGGGGATCTTCTCTCCCCCTGCTAACTGTCACAACTAGAAAAAAACTGTGAATTAGAACACTGAGAATTCTGGCAGCCTTTGTAGCTTTCGGCTTGTAGTTCTCAATGAACTACCACGGTGCTGTGGAGCACCATGATAGTTCATTGAATCTTCTTCTCAGTAATTATCTGCATGCCTGTACGATGTGTACAAGCAAGCTGATACACTGACAGGAGGGAGACTTGCATGGCACCAGCACTGATGCAATCCTTTAGAGCAGCGGTTCTCAACCTGGGGGTCGCGACCCCTATGGGGGTCGAACGACCATTTCCCAGGAGTCGCCTAAGACCATCGGAAAACACATATTTCCGATGGTCTTAGGAACCGAGACACCGCTGCTGTCTCCGGCGATGTGTGGGCGGGATG